GATCATTCCCCTGTAAGTCTTTTGACAGGTCATCCCCCTGCAGGTCCTTTCACAGGATCATCCCCCTGCAGGTCTTTCAAAAGGAAACAGTCACGTCACAACTCAACCAATTTTTCAATTCAACAAACGTTATGATTAAGACAAGTTCCTTGTCACAGAACTATTCCCCAGTTTACTGATAGGAATGATTCCCCACTTGTTGATGGGATTAACCTCCCAGTCCACTGATGGAACGAGTCCCCAATTGCTGATGGAAGTCACTCCCCAGTCTGCTGATGGGAACCAATCCACAGTGTACTGATGGGAATTACTTTCCTGCTTTCTGATGGGAACGACTCCCCAGTTGCTGATGGGAACCACTCCCCACTCCACTGATAAAATCGAGTTGTGAGATCATCCTGTTATATGTCTTTCACAGGCTTAACCCCCTGCGGGTCTTTCATTCCATCCAATATCGAAATGACTCCCCAGTTGCTGATGGGAATAACCCCCCAGTCCACTGATGGGAACAAGTCCCCAGTTGCTGATGGAGGTCACTCCCCAGTCTGCTGATGGGAGCCAATCCATGGTCTTTCACAGGCTTAAACCCCCTGTGGGTCTCTCATTCCATCAATATGGAAATGACTCCCCAGTTGCTGATTGGAATGACCTCCCAGTCTACTGATGGGAACAAGTCCCCAGTACTTGATGGAAGCCACTCCCAAGTCTGCTGATGGGAGTCAATCCTCTTTTTTATAATCATTCCTCAGTAGTCGCCATAACATTCCATAATATTCATCCTAAAATAAATGAGATCCATTCGGGATCAGGTATTGATTGCGATTCAAACTTCTTCACATTCCATCCAAATTCCAATGTTTCCATTCATCAATCTGTCACATGAAGAGTAGAACAACCTTACCTTCTACAGCCAAGGCTGGCTAGACCCTGCTTATAGGGGTACAGTGATTATGCCTGACACAAGGAGAGGTAGCCACTTCTCCCCTCGCAGCAACCATAGTCGTCTACCTACAAATTCACAATTTCTCAACAACTTACATTCAACCAAATACTCACAACAACAAAACAAATCCTTTCACATGGAATTTCATAGAGATCCTTATCGTATATTCTTCAATAATAAGCTGATCAGATAATTTTTCAATAGATAATAGCATGAACATATGAAATCAGACAGAATTCTTGTGTCATAAAAATGATATCAAACGAAACATCAACCTTGAGTTGATCTTATTAATCTCACAAAAAAATGTTTCGAGTTCATAATCGACTCAGGAATTGAAATCAGAATTTCGACAATCTATTTTTCTATAATCGTCAATCCCTTGCATCTACTCACAGTGTGTCCAGTACTACCACATCTCTTACAGGTAATATTCTTCCAATAGGATCCCCCTTTCTTTACTCACTGATCTCGTTGATTTCGAGACGCTGACTCGCAGTCTTCAGTAGTTGTCATTGAAGAATTATCCAACTGATCTCTCTCATTGTCCCTATCTCGCTCACATTGGTCCTCCAAAGGACGTTTTATCCTTGTCTTCTGATACTCATGACAACATTCGTCCTTTTTTTTTTTCCAGTATTCCTCTGAATTTTGAGAGATTCGTCACAGAATTTGAATCTCTCTTTCGCTTATCAACTCGACACTCTCTCTCAATTTTCTGTAAGCGAAGCTGTAATTGAAGAGTCTGGTCAAATATTCGACTAAATTCTCAGTCAATAAAATTTGACCGAATTTTTTCCCAATTGAATTAACTACTTTCTCCTCGGGTAAGCAAACACAACTCCCCTTCAGAATAATTTTCAAGAAAAGCAAGACACTGCTGTCTATCTGTCAACCCCTGAATTCGACGAGCCACCCGTTCAAATTCAGCCAAAAACTTTCCTTTACTACTATGCATCTCGCTCAACATTCCTCAAATCCTCAATTGTTGTTACTGCATCGCCTAACCAGAACTTGTCTAACATGGCATCGCCAAAATGAGGCCACACTAATGAAGTTTCGCTGGACTATACTCACAAGATCTTTGTCAACATATCAAAGACTCGCCTCAACATCTGAGGCTCATCCCAATCATTAACAAATGCCAACTGTTCAAATTTTTCAAGAAAAGTATAAACAAAATTACCGACCAAGAGAGGGACGTCTATTATTGGCAGACTTTCCCTTTCCACATCCCTCTGTTCTACAAGCCGAGTTATTCCAGTCATATCTTCATGATGATGACTTTTGCTTTCTTCCCTTTTCTCTCCTTCGGGTGGTTTCGAGAATTTGGCAATCATCAACTTCTCGAACTCGTTCCAGGTTCCAGAAGCGCGTAAAGGATGTTCAACCTCAACCTTGAATTCTTCAATCACAAATCCCAAAATGAAAAGGAGCTTGTGTTTTTCTCCAGCGTTGCCAAAGCCTGAAAGGCCTGTAAAAATTCAACGACCCCGCTGCCTTTGAAGAAAGGCATGTCGTTAAAAGTTTCTCCCATCATTTTATCGCCCTGCAAAAGGCGTAAACTATATTAACAATCAAATTATCTGGTTGATAATTTAACAACCATCGAAACAATCTCAGGTCTCACTTGCAAGTATTATGCTTAACCATCAAAATAACTTATTCGGACGTCGTTTCATCAATGAAAATATGCCACAGATGTTCAATCATCTATCAATGAGCCTTACAAATTACTGTGAACGAGAGTCACAATAATAGTTCTTAGAACTAAAAGTCATTATCTAAACGACTTTGAAGTTACACTTTCTTTGCGAGTCTCGGATAAAAGCTAATACTAAATGTACCACAATATAGAGTAAAAGAAAGAATTACCCTTCTTTTCCCTATACAGGTTAAGATTTACTAACCTTTCTCTTAGCCAAGTAAAGAAAGTAGTATAATTTTTACATCATCCAATCCCGAGTGTCGTTCCACCAGGGACAACGGTAGTTTGCCGTTATCCCCGACAACGGCGCCACCTGTCCAACGCATCGCCCCCGCGCGAGCACCAGGGCCCTCCCGGCCATGTCACGCAGGAGATAAACAAAAGAAAACCTAGAGACAACTCGGGAACGACGCCTAACTAATCCCGCGAGCCGTCGAGACAGTCGTGGCCGCGTCGACCCTTCGCCGCTCTAGCCGGGTGTGCCAGCTATACATCCCGTGGTCCCCTACGACAGGATAGGTTTTCGCGGGGCATAAGCTTGCATCCCTAAGGGGCTGTCACCACCCTTAGAGGTGTATCCTTACCGAGTTATTGACCCACGTGCGAAAGCCTTTAGATGCAATTGTAGAGGTAGGGCAGCCGAGGGCGTTTGCTCGTTCGCCGTAGTATAGATACGTTTGGTTAATGCCAAGTGGACCCGATCGTCGTCCGTTCCTAGGACGCTGATCTCGTTGGTCGACTAGGACAGTCTCAACCAAGCGTGAAACCCAAATTAATCCTAGTCCCTTTAGACATATAGCCAAAGAGAATTATAACATTCACAGACAATTACATCAAAAGAAAATCGACCGTCGTCGACAAAAATATCCAATATGATATGATAACTGAAGTATTCGAATCACCACACAATACATCCAATAACACAAGATCGAAATAAAATCCGACCATCTCAGGTCGAACACCACAAACCAATCATACAACCGCCAACAAGGAGTGGCTCACCGACAATAACATAGATGCAGCCGACAAGGTAGTCGGCTGCCTTAGTCTTGACTTGACGAGACGCGTTGCCAAAGTCTTTCATTCCAGCCTACCTGAAACTCGACGCACATACATGCCTTCGTCCGTTTTCAATCTTTTCGGATGACAAGCTACTTTGCGATTGATTATTGATCAGGGGCATTGCTTGACGTGTTGCATGCCTCTTCCTCTAGGAAGTGGTCTGGGGTACTCCTCCTCGTTCAAGCACAAGACTCGGATCTCAGAAGTCGGGCCGTTTCCACCGACTCGGCAAGTACCCCCCCGTAGAACGGTCCACTCTGGGTCGATAACAGGGTTGGCTCCTGAAGCAACGAACCCCCGCCCCAGATGCTTCCTAGAGATAATGGATGCGTCCACCGCAACTAGCTTTCATATATATATATATATATCATCACAAATAGAACTGCCCGGTAAACCGTAGGCAGAGAGAGAGAAGAGGACAACAAAGGAGGGGTTGGGACAAACTGTTTCGTCGGAGTTTCACCGACTCATCAGGTATATATTTCCTAAGTCCCGGGGGTAACTTAGACGAAAAGAAATCAGAAGAGAAAGAAAAAGAGAATCATTTCGACAGGTACAGGTACATAAGGTCGTTCGGGATAGAATGGGTCAATCCTTGGTAAAAGCTAAATCCGTTTGACCTTGTCTGCTTTATTTCAATAGAATTCATTCTTCGACACAAGTTGAATAACATTTTTCCAAAACAACACGTTCTTTTCGACAAGCAGGCAGGTCAAAGGTAGAAAGAAGACAATCCATTCCTTCATCTCAAATAGGCATAATCAATCTCCTTTGTAAGCATCCCTCTACCTACCTGCACAGACGGCAAAGGAAACACGTTCGAAAGAAAACAGTACAATCCCATACTCAAGTCAGACTTTTTCATTCACATGCATGACTTGCACAACTTTCCTCTACCTTTTCTTTTGAATATTCAAAACGAATAGGGTCAAGCAAAGTGCGGGTCCACACAGGCATGAAAGGAAGTTAGAGTCATTCAACTGACCTTGAGTTAAGTTGAACCGTACACTCAAGAAGACCGTATAAAATTACGCTCCCTTTTACGTGCCGGTCGTCCTCCCCAGTCGTCAGCAAAGTGATCCAAACCACTCTCTTGCTACTGTCACCTGCCACAACACCCGCTTACTTATTTTTCAGTACGTATCATCGCCACTAGCTTCCACTGTCACCACGTCACTGCGCTGTCAAGTCCACGCCGCCTCGAGATACCCCACTATAGTGGCACCTTCCCTGCGCCAAGGCCCAACTGCCGCTCAATGTAAAATTACTACCGTCACCGCCGTAAACCCTGTGCCGACGTTGCGAAAATTTTCAACAGCACGTCCGCACTGCCGCTGTAAAGCCTGGTGCCGTCGCCGTAAAATTTTTGCACCGCTTCCGCACCACCGCCGTTAAGCTTGCGTCGCTGCCGCAAAAGTTCGACAACACCACCGTACCATCGCCGTAAAAAGCCTGCGTCGCCTCTGCAAAAGTTCGGCAGCACTTCCGTACCACCGCTGTAAAAGCCTGCGTCGCCACCGCAAAAGTTTGGCAGCATTTCCGTACCACCGTCCTAAAAGTCTGCGTCGCTGCCACAAACGATCGGCAACACTTCCGTACCACCGCCGTAAAAGCCTGCATCGCACCCGCAGTTGCCGCAAAAAGTAGCAGTGCCTCCCCCACGACCGTCGTTATGACTGTGGCCATAGCCAGCAGCACACCCTTGATGAGATGGTGGCTATGGGAGCCTCCTCTCTCAGCCTCTATTGCAGACCTCCACTCTCCTCCTCCAAGCAGCACTTCCTCTAGTATCAAGCCTTAGGTCTCACTACGCGCCCATAGCCTCATATGCTATGTCAAGCTGCTGCTCCACTGTGCCTTTGCTTAGGTCCACCCGTTCCTAATATAGTCGTGGAGGCGGGGCACTCACATCACTTTAGTTATGGGTCCATATGTGCCTCTATCTGCCTTCACTCGAGCTGCTAAATCCCGAAATCACTCAATGACTGCCACTTGTCACTTCTCCTTGCTTCCTCTGCTGTCACCGTGGAATTAGAGTTGTTGTGACCCATAACTTTCATTGTCCAGCTTGCTTCGCCTTGTGTATATATATACATGTCCCTTTGCAGGCTTGTACATCCTGTGATGATGGCTTCAAGCTGTCTCATCGGGCTCTGGACCCAAGTTCCGGAGCAGCCTCTCATTAAAAATGGGGGCAAGCTCAGTCTGCATGGGTTTGAGCCCAAGCAACCCTCATAGGGCTTCAATACAAGGCCGGTAAGTCAAGCCCTTTGCTATCTGGAGGGCTGCCAATTCGGAGGCTTCAAAGCCTTGAAGCATCAGTCTGCTGCTGGAGGCAGAGTCACAGCCAGACCTTAAAAGGGCCTGAGCTGCACTCACTTGCTGTGGTTATGGGTTGAAGAATTCCCAGCCATGGTCTTTCTCTACGTTTTGTTTTTTCCACCGTGGTCTCCCACATTAAAAATAGGCAGCCAATGGCTACAGCTAACTCCTGGACAACCATTGGCTGCCTTTTTCTCTGTTTGGTACCCGTTCTGACGGGTGCCAGCTCAGTGCTAAGGCTGGGGGGGGAAAGAACAACTCGTAATAATCACGAGCTAAAATCTCAACAGGCTCAGAGCGGGATGCAAAAAGTACCCCGACTCTGGCGATTTTTGATGAAAATTTCGTCAAATAAAAAAATCTGAAAAAATTCATGCGCGTGGCATAGACGCCCACCTACTAAGAGAAAATTTTTCAGAGCCAACAAAAATAATACACGCCACCAAAAAAATATAGGCGCAAACTGCAAAATACAAACTTTCTCAAAATCTTGATCCACTTTTTCATTTTTATTTTTCTTTTTCTTTTTTCTTTTCCCTTTTTGCCCATTGGCCTAACAGCGCCCTTTGGAAGGTTGTGGCTCCAAGGCCCAGCCATGAATTGTTGAAACGCAGACCAGAGTCTAAATCCAAATGGATTCAGGGCATGGTGGGGTTGTGCAACCTCACGAAAAATGGCCCTCACCACCCTACTCACCAGATGTGCAAAATGGAAATGAGTTTCCCCCTTTCCCACGGGAAGAAGCAGTGCCTCGTCAAGCCACGAGGCTGCTGCTATTTCAAATTTCAGAAAACAAAAAAATCACATCATCCTTGCGTAGGTCATGCCACTCTCTGCGCGGTTGTTTTTCAGCAGTGCGATTTTATCGATCGCACGGCCAAAAACGGCCGCGCCATAAAGTTGGGCTGCTCCAAAAGAAAGGAGCTAGCCCAATGGGCCTATTGGCTTCGATCCCCGAATCTGCGGTGTATCAGGCTGGTACGTTACCTACTGGGCTAGCTCCTATTTCACATCAGGATAGGAGCAACCCTCATATATGAAGGGTTATAATGCCCAGTAGGCAATCTACCTACGGCCTTGCAGGCCTTGCCTACATGAGCCTGCAAAACCTGCCTACCTGTAACCTAACAGGCCCGTCTTGCCTGTGGCCTTGCAGGCCTCACCGGCTGGTGGCCTAGCAGGTTCTACCTACTGCCGCTTCCTCGAATCGTGTCATTCACATTTCTTACTCTTGGACGCTACATGCGTCCGGACTAAAGCTCGAAAACTAGTTTTTCAGTCATGGGTCAGGTCTGAATAAACTTTTGGCAAACGTCGGTCTCATCAAGTCTCATCAACTTTAGTCTCTATATTTCTATATATTTATATGTTTATGAGAACAAGGCTAGCCTGACATTGTTTCTAAGACGAATGGTCTGACTATAACCTTATCACAAATCAAGAGAGTATAACTAAGAGCTATAACTGCAAGTAACCTGAGCAGGTTCAGCATTGTTTCTAAGACGAATGGCTCGGTCCTATGCTCGATTTGGAAGATTAAGTTCAGAGAATTATATATAACTTGGCTACGTAAACAGATCAGGGCGGCTAAGCATTGTTTCTAATATGAATGGCTTAGTCATGTGCCCAATGAAGAGAAAAGTAGTTGTGCAACCTGTTCGTGTATAAGTAAGGCAAAGAATTGGCATTGTTTCTAAGACAAATGACCAAACTCAGTGCCTTATCTAAGCTTTCGTATAAAGGGCTAAATCATGAAAGATTATGAACTATTGTTTGTAAAGTTGACTTGGGGATGGTGAGAGTACTTATCTTTGTGGTTTGGCCTGCATGTGACACGTGCGACTACTACTTAGTCTGAGTTTCAGTTTGATAGGTAGTCGCTTTAGCTGCTCGCCACGTGCTAGAGCCATAGGAGTTAGTTTCAATTTCTGCATTTTCTGGGATCTTTTATTTATACTTTCGTATAAATCTTGGTAAGGCACTTTCTCTAAGGGAAGCGCTGTCGAAATTTCTACAAAACCAAGGACTTAGTCAGATTTTGATTTTTTTCAAGATCCGACTTTTCTGACTCTTTGGCTTAGCAAAAACCTGGAACACCTCCCTTTCTAAAGGGACTGCTGCCCAAATTTTTGCTAATTTAGGGAGTTAGACAAAATTGGACCTTGAGAAGTCAAAGTCATTTTTCTGAACTTAGCTTTGTATAAATCTTAGAATAGCGCTTTCTCTACAGGAAGCGCTGCCGAAATTTCTACAAATCTAAGGAGTTAGTTAAATTTTGTCTTAGTTGAACTTATGTTTTGTTTCTGAGTTCATTTCTGACTTAATATACATCTGGGAAGTCTACCTTTCTAAAAGGAGTGCTGCCCAAATTTTAGCTAATTCAAGGAGTTAGACAAAATTTGACTTTGAAAGGTTGAAGATTATTTATGTTTTCATATTTAGGCTGGTATAAATTATGGAAAGGCACTTTCCTACGGTAAGCGCTGCCGAAATTTTCTTAGTTTAGAGGAGATAGATTATATTTTGACAGGTGGCGACTTTGGCGATCCACTCTGTATGGGGGAGATTCTGCCATAGGTCTACCTTTCTTTTGAGCACTGGCTTAGAGGTAGACCTAGGCTTGGCTGTCACGGGGACTTGATCTCCATACGTTGACGATTTAGCTTGGACTTAAACATGTCGTATGATCCACGTCTTCTTTGGACGTTCGATTCAGGATTTGGACAAGTTTCAGCTTGATCCTACGAGGATCATCTTCTATTATCACTGATAACAGGTCGATTGGTTGATCGCCGACTTGTCGGCTCACGACACAACTTCGCTTACACATGTACCTCAACTTGATTGCCTTCGCCCTGGGATTTGATATGTTTCTTTGAGGGTTTTAACCGAACTTCTTTTAAATGCCCATTATAAAGAACTTATGAGATTTATGAAAAGTTGGACTATGACTGGGGCTTGAGTGTTTGAGGCGTGGTGTGAGTTACGGGGAACAGTAAAGTTGACCACATTGGTGTATGGCAATGTGGCTATTGTGTGTGCCTGTGTTTTATGCAGGTTAGTATTATGGAGCTCGTTATATGGGTCATACCTTGGAAACAGTGAGAATGACAACCATGTGTCGCACGATGTGCACCTGATGGGTTTATGTCCCCCCCTTCTTTTATTGATATATCGAGTCCTGATTTGATATATGGGTATTGAGATGCCTGTTTATTTATTGAGTGATTTTGCTTGTTAACTTTTATAGTTGGACGTTGTAGTCCGTGGCAGCCGTCAAAGTCAAACCTGTTGACTTATTTCCAGACCCTGGATGATGGAGCTGGTTTCCAGGGCAATACGAGACGATTGCCACCACAGGTATAAACCTGTATACCACCCACTCTTCGAAGGGTGCAAAAGAGGGTGTGGTTTTCAACCGCACTTGGCGGTTGTCCAGCGTCGAGAGATTAACCCTCAAGGCGAGTGTCAGCCGACACTTAAGTGTCGAATGCGTCCCTCGAGATTAACGAGGACCGCATGAGTATGGGTACTACGGAGTACGCCATCATCGCGACTGCTTGCGTATGCTTGCATTACGAGTCGACATGAGTTAGCCCTGCGTCCGTGTGGTTTTATACTAAGTCTCGCGCGCGATGCCTATCCAATTTCCGCATCGGAGAGTTATGGGTTGGCTACTAAGGGACTAGGAGTGTTGTCGCGTTGTTTGTCCTCTGTCGTTTTGTATATCTACGTGCGTATGTGTGTGTGTTTTTGTTTTTATGTTCTTAGAGTGGTGTGCGCGTGGTGCGTGGGATGCGTCCTCGTCGACCGGTGACGATTCGCGCTTAGGAACTCGGCCCCCCAAGATGTTGGTTCGCGTGCGGGTCCGATAGAGGCGTAATACCRCGCGTACCCCCTATGCTACAACGAACGAGAAATGCCCTCGGCTGGTCCACCTCTACGATTGCAACTGATCAGCTTTCGTATTGTGGACTGGTAGCTCAGCGGGGATACGCCCACCGAAGGGAGGTGACAGCTCCCGTAAGGTGGAGGTAATCCGTGCCTCGCGTAGGCCCTGTCCTGTCGTAGGGGCTCGGGAGAGGTATGGCAGGCGCACTCGGCCGGAGCGGCTTGCATAAGTTCCATGTATATTCGCGACGAGGATTTAGACCAACTCCTGCGTAACGCGGCCGGGAGGGTCC